TGAATAAAGGAATATTTGAGGCCACAAGCATTATAGTATTTTATAAACCTTGTCTTTTATTTTAAAAAGTAGAACTAATGCCATGCAGATTATTATAAACGACTATGTTGTATGATATATTCCAAGTAATTTCATTTTCAATAATGGATTAGGACTGTTCATTATTTTGGAAATTCAAAATAAATCTCAACATGAAGCTGCAAACCATTCTGAGGAAAACAAATATAAAAATAAGGTGAACTTTCATGCCCTTTTCAAGTCTGAAGTGCTATGAAAACACTGTGATTAGGAAATGACATATTTTGATGACCAAAATGTTTGCAATGTTACTATTAAAAATCTCTAAACTCTCTAATCATGAATCTAACACATTTTCAACTTTGTTTGATTTTACCTCAGAATCCTTCACATCTGTCTTTTGGTTTCTATGCCTGTCTTCCCATGCCTGTCTATCATTCCTAGGCTTCTGAACTGTTACTGATCAAACTCCCTTATTAGGTATTGCTTTTTAGCTTGCAATCCAGATATAGGTATATAGATTTATTTATCAATTATATAAATGCACCACTGTATTAATATTTATACTTGTAAAATTACACATGATAAATGAAAAAAAAATTAATAGTAAATGTAAATACAAATGGAAGTTCAATTACTTTTTCTTGCCCCTTCAGTGGCTGACCTTGTATACCACTTGGGTTATATTCCCCACTCTGAGAACTGGCCCAGACTGTAGTAGTAACTTGCAAACTTTTCTCATGCCCTCTTTTTCACCCTTTTTCTGTTTGTGATGTTTTGGCTCTGTGTCCCAACCTAAATCTCATGTTGAATTATAATCCCCAACATTGGGAGAGAAACCTGGTGGGAGGTGATTAGATTGTGGGGATGGAATTCCCCCCTTGAGGTTATTTCACAAGATCTGGTTGTTTGAAAGTGTGTAGTACTTCCTTCACGTTCTCTCTTTCCCCTGCTCCTGCCGTATGAGACATGTTTGCTTCCTGTTTGCCTTCTGCCATAATTGTAAGTTTCCTGGGGCCTCTCCAGCTGTGCATCCTGTATAGCCTTTCAAACCTTGAGTCAATATAATCTGTTTTCTTCATAAATTACACAGTCCCAGGTAGTTCTTTATAATAATGCAAGAATGGACTACTACTGAAAATTGGTAACAAAGAAGTGGGACATTGCTGTAAAGATAACTGAAAATGTGGAAGCAACTCTGGAACTGGGTAACAGGCAGAGGTTTGAACTGTTTGGAGGGCTCAGAAGAAGACAGGAAGATGAGGGAATGTGGGACTTCCTAAAGACTTGTTAAATAGTTGTTACCAAAATGTCTGTGGTGATATAGACAGTGAAGTCCAGGCTGAGGTGGTTTCAGATGGAGATGAAGAACTTAAACTGGAGTAAAGGTTACTCTTGCTGTACTTTAGCAGAGAAGCTGGCAGCATTGTGCCCCTTTTCTAAGATCCGTGGAGCTTTGAATTTGAGAGAGATGATTTTGGATATCTGGCGGAAGAAATTTCTAAGCAGCCAAGCATTCAAGAGGTGGCCTGGATGCTTCTAACCACATATGCTCTTATGTGTGAACAAAGAGATTATCTGAAACTGCAACTTTTATTTAAAAGGAAAGCAGAACACAAAAGTTCAGAAAATTCACAGCCCACCCATGTGGTAGAAAAGAAAAACCCATTTTCTGCAGATGGATTCAATTGCAGGAGTTTGTGTAAGTGCAGAGGAGCCAAAGGTAAATAGGCAACACAATGGGGAGAATGCTTCCAGGGCATTTCAGAGACCTTTGTGGCAGACACTCCCATCATAGGCCTGGAGGCCTAGGAGGGAAAAATTGTTTTATGGACTAGGCCTAGCACCCTGCTGCTCTGTGCAGCCTCCAGTACATGGAGCCCTGCATCACAGCCATAGTCACTACAGCTCCAGCCGTGGCTAAAAGGGACCAAGGTTCAGCTCTAGTTGTTGCTTCAGAGGGTGCAAATCCTAAGCCTTGGCAAGTTCCACATGGTGTTGAGCCTACAGGTGTGCAGAAGGAAAGACTTGAGGCTGGAAGCTTCTGCCTAGATTTCAGAGGATGAATGGAAATGCCTGGATGTCCAGTTAGAAGTCTGCTGCAGGAGTAGAATCCTCATGGAGAACCTCTACTGGGGCAGTGTGGAGAGAAAATGTGTGGTTGGAGCCTCCACATAGAGTCCCTACTGGGGCACTGCCTGCTGGAGTTGTGAGAAGAGCGCCATCATCCTCCAGACCCCAGAATGGTAGATCCACTGACAGCTTTCACTGTGGACCTGGAAAAGCCACAGGTTCTCAATGCCAGCCTATGAAAGCAGCCACAGGGACTGGACCCTGCAGAATCACAGAGCTGAAGCTGTCTAAGGCCTTGGGAGGCCACCCCTCACATCACTGTAGCTTGGATATCAGATTTGCATTCAAAAAAGATTATTTGGGAAATTTAAGATTTAATGACTTGACTCTGCTGGAGTTCAAGCATCCATGGGACCTGTAGCCCTTTTTGTTTTGGCCAATTTCTCCCTTTTGAAACAGGAGTATTTAGCCAATGCCTGTACCCCCATTGTGTCTTGGAAGTAACTGATTTGCTTTTGATTTTATAGGATCAGTGGTGGAAGGCACTTGCCTTGTCTAAGATGAGACTTTGGACTTGGACTTTTGAGTTAACACTGAAATGAGTTAAGACTTGGGGGGCTGTTAGAAGGGCTGATCATATTTTGCAATATGAGAAGGACATGAGATTTGGGAGAGGTAGGGGAGAAATGATATGGTTTCGCTTTGTGTCTCCCCCAAATCTCATGTTTAATTTCTAATTCCCAGTGTTGTGGAGGAACCTAGTGGGACATGATTGAATCATGGGAGCAGATTTACCTCTTGCTGTTGTTGTGGTAGTGATGAGATCTCACAAGATCTGGTTGTTTGAGAATATGTAGCACTTCCCCATTCACTCTCTCTTTCCTCCCTCCTGCTCCCATCTTTGCCTTCTGCCATGATTGTAAGTTTCCTGAGTCCTCCTCAGCCATGCTTCCTGTACAGTCTGTGGAATCATGAACTAATTAAACCTCTTTTCTTTATAAATTACTAGTCTCAGGTAGTTTTATTTTATAGTAATGTGAGAACAGACTAAAACATTGTGCAACCTCAACCCATCTGTCAGTGTCCTGTTTAAAGTGCAAATATGGTCATGTTATTAACATTTTAAAAATTATTCTATAATTCCTAATTGACAGAAAGGTAAAGTAGAAACTTCTTAGATGATCGTATGAGGCCTTTCTTTGTGTAGTTGCATTTTCTCATTATTGATCTATGTTCTAACCAAAAAAAAAAAACTACCCGGTTTTTTGAAACTGAATGATATGCTCTTCATATTTTTATTTTTATTTTATTTTATTTTTATTATAAACAGTGTGTCTTTTAACCAGGATGTTCTTCCTTTGGCTGCCTCCTCTACTCCTATTTAGAGATTTAGCTCAACAATTTAACTTTTGAGATTTAGCTTCACAATTTTATCTTCTATGATATGTTTCCTGACACCTTTTGCCAATTCTCTATTTCCCCCGTAACAGCTATATTATTGCATTTCAATTATTTATGTACTGTATGAGTCTACCTCTTAGCTGAGATTCTAGACACAAGCAATCTGACAAATTGATCTCTTTAGCTATTGCAACCTCATGTATCTATGGCTCTTAGAATAATGCCTGGCACGTAGCAATAAATGTTGTGGAATGAGTGAATGAATGAATAGGAGCCCACACCAAAATTACTGGAGAAGACTTAACATATTCCACCTGGTGGCAAATATTACTTTACAAAAAGATTCATTTAGTTATGAAGATATAATTTATCTAAGATCAAATATTTTGTGTCTAGAATGCAATATTTAGTTTAAAATAACTTTTAAAAATGACTGACAGAGCTGGTAAAAGTACTCAATGCTTGGAATGTTCATACCAACGTGTATGCTGGCTACTGGACAACTGGATTAGGAAGAATATCTACATTGAGCATTGACATGTGACAACTGTATAAAGCCAAGATTTCCAGTTAACTACTAATATTTGTAGTTGCTCTTTAATAGCTGTCAGCATCTTGACAAGGTCGAGTTCTATTTTATTTAAATTTTTAATTAATTATGAATTACTCTTCAATTGTTTTTAAAAAATTCCCATTTAGAATTTGCGAATATGATCATTTTTCTCCTTTAAGTTATAGTATAATAAGTTATATTGATTTATTACCTGATATTGAACCACTTGTGTTCCCATACCATACCTTTTTTGGTAAAGGACATTATTCTTCTGACAGTCATGTATTATACTGCTAACATTTCATCTTAATGTTTGCACTTGCCTTAATAAGAATAATAGGTTTATATAGTTTACAACTAACGTAATTTTTCATTTTGTTTAAGAAATCATATGAAATAAGCATTGACTCAAACTTACCTCAAAGATTGAGTTTAGGATGGAAATTCTAGCAATTCTATCAAGTCAGGACTCATGATAGCTCATTCATCAAGTGCTTACTTTGTGCCAATTACAGTTTTAAGGGCTTTCTGTATTAATTCATTTAAACCCTACAACATCCCATGAACCAGAAATTTTTATTATTTTCCCCATCTTAGGTCAGATGAATTGAAACACAGAGATGTAAAGTACCCAGGGTCACATAGAAGGTAAATTGCAGAGTCAGGATTTGAACTCAGGCATTCTGGCTCCAGAGCCTACATTCTTTACCAAAAGACATTAATTTGCCCATCATGTTGCAGAGGGAAACACAAATCTCAGGAATTATTTGTATAAAGAATCTGACATGGTCATTGTTAATTGACCTATGACTATTTAAATAATAGAGAATTTATAAGAGAAATACCCTAACGACATACCATCAATTAACAATATAGACTGGAGACTATGTAACTATTTTAAAACTTAGTTAAAAATATTACCAAAGTAATAATACTTTTTTTTTCATCTTTTCAGCAATCTTGACACAGAAGAGCTGTGTGGTAAGTTTCTTTAAGATCAAACATTACTTGTTTAAGAAGGAAAAACAGCAATGTCTAATATATATCAACCTTGGAATTAATGTTATAGATTAGGAGTTCTAAAATAAAATAAAATATAAATTGACATCTCAAGGGATTTATCTTTTTCTATGAATTTTGCTCAGTCATGTATTTCACTCCAGAAAGAGCCGGGCCTCATTAGCTTGTTCATAGAAAAAGAATTGTTATTAAAATCAGTACATTAGTTTTATAAGAGCAAATTCTCCACAAGTTTCAATATATTTTTAAATTGGTGTTTAATACAACTTCATTATTCTCTGCACAATATATTGTGAAGAACCTTTTGTTACTATTTTATAAAGCTGTCTTCTTCAAATGTAAAAATAACTTAGTCTCATACCTGCCTAAACCATTCTGGAGTTTTAAATGTCATTTCAAAGTAAGTGATTCAATGGGGAGAGATAAATCTTTACAAATGCCTGGTTTAACAGCCTCTTCATTTATTTTTTTTCATCTTTATGATTGGAAACAAGGTAAAGATTAGAAATACGTAAAGCTAAAATTTTTGAATTTTATTATTTTATGGAAAAAATGGAACATTATGAAACTATTCGGTTTGAAACAGCTGTATCTCTCTGAATACTGGAAGGTTTTATGTTTTATGTTTTAAGATAAATGTTTAAGATAATACCTTTGTCCAAGTTTGATCTGATTGTCTATGCTGCTCAAAACGTTTTTGATAGTTAGAGTTGAGTTTTCTCTGGGAGCTCCTCTCTGAAACTAGCAGCACTTCCTGAACATCTTATAATCCTTATAGTTTTAGAGTTTACGAAAACTCAAAACATCAGAAGGGCCATTTTCTTATATTCAAGAGTGGTTATTTCCATTTCATCAAGTGGTAGAGCAATAACAAAATATGTTATACAAGAACAAAATATCAGATTGCATGATTTCAGAGGCAATAACTGAACAAAATGAATGTAATCTCCAACCATGAGCTTTCAGATTTTCCAATGGTTATAAAAAACTCCTGCTTCTTATCCTGGCATAGTATCCATCTCAGGTTCAGGGAGGAAAACCCAACTGAAATTCAAGGTATGTTTATGGAGGAACGAGGTACTCTGATACCAAAGCAAGTCATGTTTTTGTTAGTTATGAAATGCCAGCAGGGAAAATCCTGCCATTCTTTCAGACAGACACAGTCAGATGGTAGCATTGTGTACACATGGTTAAGCATCTGAAAGGGCTCATGCAGGCCATTGCCATGAGACGTTATGATGAATAGCAGTCAACATAAAGTCCACTCTCAGCTATGTGCACACAGTCCTGGTTAGTGAAGTGAAAAGATAAAATGGAGAGCACAAAATTATTTTGATAATTTTGTTAACGTGGCAGACCCATTTCTGAATGTCTAGATAAGTCAGGCCAAAGTAATTATTTCCTCAAATCATTCATTTATATCTATTTTTTGTTTTTCACTTAGCTTTGCCTGGGTAGGCCACAGCTGATGAGAAAGCAAACTGTTATAAGGACTTTTAAGATAAAAACACTAAGTGGTTCTTCTTTATATGCTATGTTGCCTGCCTATCATCATTAAGGAATATTGTGTTATTCTCTATTTTCTCCTAAAAGTACTTCAAATTTTTAAATATTATAGAAATCTCCACTTACTCCTCTACTGAAAAAATATATTTTTTAAATATGCCTTTATTCTATAATAAGGGAACTAGATTAGGTGCTTATACTGTATTTATTGAAAAAGCTTTATGATTTCCCCTGGACAGTTTTAGTTAGAGAACTGGAATGTGGGGCTTTAATTCAACAGGAATTGTTCTGTATTTTTTAAATCCAGTGATTGTATTCACAGTCATGTGTTATAATCCTCCCCTCTCTGTTTAAGAATATGCATTTTAATCTCCAGAGTGTCGTTTCATTTCTCATTATTTTGTGAATATAAAGTAAATATTTAAGTTGGATTCTAATCAAAGCCAAATGCGTCAGTGCTAGAAAGTGAAATATGTCAATTCATACCCGGCACAAATTCCCCCTTGTGCGTGGGAGGGACAGAACTTGATTGGCATGAAAAGTAGATTTCATATGTTCTTTCTTAGATGCCAATTACAAGCTGCAGGTACCTAAAACTTTAATTCTGAGGCTTTTACTTCATTTGTCAGTTACTAAGTTAAGGACCTAGAATTTAAAATCTATTAAAATATTTATTTTGAAAAAATTTCTTTGTAATTTTAATTATGAAAGTAATACTTAACTGCCATTTTTTAAATTTAACAGTATTATGTAGGTGTATAAGCTAATATGTCAATCTTCTCTGTCACTCATTGTCATCTCCAATACTAAGCTCTACTATTTACTTGGAACATATTCTTCCAGACATTATTATGTGTATATTGACATTTATATATATGCATATGTATATTATACTATGTGACTGATATATATGCATATGCATATTATACTACATGATTAGTGCAATTGCATCCCCTTCTACTTCATTTTATTTAAAGGCTGCTTGGTCTCCCATGCACTTTAATTTTGTCAACCAAGTTCCCTTTAATAGATTTTCAGTTTGAATCCAACTTTTCATGGGAAAAACAGCATTGAAATAAATATTCTCCTATACATTATCTTCACACTCATGTGCAAGTAATTCTGTATGGTAGATTCCAAAAATGCAATTCCTTAATCAAGGTTTCTCTAAGGTGCACACTCACCAGCAATTTACGGAAGTGCCAAAATTACCCACTCTTCACATACAATTGTGAAGTCCTTCCTAAAGGTTTTTTTGTTTTGTTTTGTTTTTTGTTTTTTGTTTTTGTTTTTTTGCTGTATCTTATGACTATCAGTCAATACAAAACTCAATTTTAATTAGGGAATTGTGGTTTGAACTCTGGCACTGAAGCTTTGGTTTGTATTTCTACCATAATTAGCTCCAATCTAAAGCATTCAGGAGTATAATTACTACTTTTCCTGGCCCTACCCTGTTTATAACTATTTTTATAACCCTACTCATTTTTACTGAACTGTTTTGCAGATCTTGAACTTGGTAGTTAAGAATAGGTAGTTGAAATATTTATAGATGGGTAAAGGATAATTACAATGAATGTGCTTGATCTGAAAGCATATCTGTAAGAAAGCTTTGTTAGCAAGGTTAAATATATTTAATAGTGTAATTTCTCATCTAGTTGGTTGTTATCTACCAAATATTAAACTATATTAAAAGTTAGATGAAGTCTATAAATAAGATGGATAAATCCTGAGGGTACAGGAAACTCCAGAGTAAAAACTTATTCCCTTCATACCAAGGTTCTTTTCAGTAGCTGTGCAGGAAGCACCCAGGCTGCACTGGCAGAGCCCAGACAGTGCTGAGAGACCTGTGCCCGCAAGACTGGGTGCTGGAAAACACCCCACATTTCTACATCTGACTGATCTCCCTATTCAGAACATGTGGGTTTTAACACTCTCTCAATTATTTTCTTTTCTACCTAGTATACTACTTGAGAAATTCTAACTGCTTGAGAAGTTTAGATGAAACTCATCTAAACTCTTGAGAATGCTTTGTGAGACCAGTTTCTACTGAGACTTTTGTGACAGCTGTGGGTTCTTTGGTTCTGACAGAATTATTAAGCTGATCTGAAACCTCAAGAACTTTAAAGACTAAGGTACAGGATAGAGAAAACAAAACAAAACTGTAGTTTGGAAATGGAACACCACTGATTAAGTACAGAAAGGAAGGGAGAAACTAATTTGTTGTTAGCATTTTATTAGAGAAGATGGCACATTGTATATTCATGAGAATATAGCCTGCTTTCTGACAGATAACTTACTACATCTCCTTATAAATTGTGCTCTACTTTTTCATCATACCTAATGCTCAGACTCTACTTTTTCACTTAAACTGATGAGGATTGGTTTTCACATATTTCCATAAGTACAATATAACTATTTTACTCAAGTTCATGAAGCCCACATGCAAATTTCAACAAAATAGGTCTTTTCTCCAGGAAGTTATTCCAGTTATCAAAGGACAAGCATTTTAAGCAATCAATATCTGTTCCAAATCATTCTTTCTCTCTAATGTCATGACTTAATGACAATATACATTTGCCCCTTTCACACTGGCAATGTGATTCAAATGAGAAACATGAGTCACAAACTTGAGAAACTTGTTATAAAACTTTGGTCCAAGCTCAGCCACTTCCAAAGCCATCACTGTCCTTTTCTCCCGCCTGCCACATGTTGGAGTTCGCAGATCTACTGCTGAAATTCTGAACTCTATTCCTCATTCCACTTCACAGCTTTGGTATGGCTTATAGTCCTAGTTCTCTGATGAAATCACTCCTGTCGATTGATGTCTCCTTTTTCTCTTGATGGTGTCACCAACATTCCCCCAAATTGTCCTTTGTGTATCCTTTCCTTTTCTAATAGGAAAATCTGAGGATGTCACTCTCCTTTTCAAAATTGTTGCATAGCTTCCCATTGCCCATAGCGGTATCAAATGTACTCTGAATCATAATCTCCTAGGGAATGTAGGTCTCAACCCAAAGATTCTGATTTACTAGATGAGACCTTCTTAATCATCTTAATGTCTAACAAGTACGGTAGGGTAGTACTTCTCAAACTTAAATGTGCCTACAAATCACCTGGGGGTCTTATTAAAATGCAGACTGTGATTCAACAGGCCTGGAAGTGGGCCTGAGATAAAGTTCTAACAAGCTTCGAGGTGAAACTAATGCTGCTGGTCCACAAACCAAACTCTCAACGTGAGTTACTAGAGGATTCTGGTGCAGGTGGCCAAAAACACTGACCTAGCCTTGAGGATGAAAGAGCATCTGGCAAGGAGTGTTTCCAAAATATACGCTTTGTCTCTCATCACTGACTTGTAGCATTTGTTTCCTTGCTGCCTTCCATTCTCAAATATGTTCCAGCCCTGTTCTTTATCTCTTAGCAGTGCTGAACTACACATACTCCTGCAAACGGGACAGGAGAGCAGCTGCTTCCATGCCTTTCCTCTGAGAATCCAGCAGGTTAAGTCCTGTTCATCTGTTAACTAAACCATTGGTGGTGTTTCCCCTATGAAGCCCTCTCTGACTTACCCGAGCAGAGTTGGGAATTTTTTTTTCTTTATCTTTTTTGTTGTTGTTGTTGTTGAGACAAGACCTCACTCTGTCACCCAGGCTGGAGTGCAGTGGCACAATAATCTTGGCTTACTGCAATCTCGGTCTCCTGGGTTCAAGCAATTCTCCTGCCTTACCCCCTATTTGGATTGCACCTTGTATCTGGGCTTTTGAACCAGTGTCTTTAACAATGATTATGTCTATTGCAGTTGTTTGTTGGAATATTTGTCTCTCCTACCTGACTGTAGCACTTCTGTCTTTTCATCTTCGTATTCCAAGTTCCTACGATAGCACCTAGCACATAAAAGACACTAAGTCAAGGTATGTTAGGCTGCAGAATGAGTAAGTCAACACTCACTATGATGAAGTGGAAGGAAGTTATCTTTCTTTATCTATATTGGATGTGTCTGACTCTTTCATCTAATTTCCCTCTTTGAGTTTATTGGAGCCCCCTTGCCTTGACTGCCTGACCCATATTCCACAGTGAGTAAGTTATAAAAGAGCCTTAGTGACAATGAGCGGCGCCACCTCAAAATAACCCTTACACTTAGATTTCCAACTTAAGCTCCTATCCAGGACATGAGCATTGCAATTCTCTTCCTTCTCACTCATTTTCTTTACTATCCAGTGATCGTTCTTTCTTTCCAACTTGGAGAGTTGAAATGAACAAATGGACGAATGAAGGAAAGAAAGAATGAAATCTTGTAGGTGTCAGCTCTGAAGCTTCTAGTCATTGTTTTTCTCATGTGCTTTATCAGCATGTGCCTGCATCTGCGTGTATAGGTCCTATTTCAAAGTGGAAAGACAACTTAAATTCTCTCCAGGAACCTCTACTGATTAAGCCAAATATCTTATCTATGAATGAAATATTTATTTTAAAACATGGCTTTGTCTCTCTCTCTCTCCCTTTATGTATATATAATCTCACCGAGGCTGGAGTGAAGTGGTGCTATCACAGCTTACTGCAGCATCAACTTCCCAGGCTCAAGCAATCTTCTCACCTCAGCCTTTCAAGTAGCTGGGACTAGAGGCACATACCACCGTGCCTGGCTAATTTTTAAATTTTTTTGTAGAGGTGGAGTCTTGCTGTGTGGCCAGGCTGCTCTCAAACTCCTGGGTTTAAGTCATCCTCCTGCCTTAGCTTCCCAAAATACTGAGATTATAGGCACAAGCCTCCTTGCCCAGCCTGTTTTCATTTTATATTTTTGTCTACTTGCATTTCACACCCCATCACAATCTCCTTTGAGGCATTATATATACAAGTTTTAAACTGAAAATGAAGTAACAGCTTCATTTATTGGCATTTTTCTTACACATTTTGCTTGTTTCAACTTATCATGGACTCAGTTCTGATATTCATTGTTTTCCCAACTTAGGAATATTTTACAGCCACATCAGTTGCTCACTGGTTGATGAAGAGTGTTCATTTGTTATAAATAATTGCACAAATAAAGTTAGACATATTTGTCAACCTTATCAGAAAGTCAGCATTATAACCACAAATTAAAATGTTTTGAAGCAGGTATTTAAGAAATAAATACTTTCTTACTTATCTTCCAATTAATCACTTTCTAAACAATCCTTATAATAGATAATTTACACCACTTTGTTTTGAAGGAACGCATTTTGCTTTGTCAAAAAATATGTCATTTGTTCTTAAACTATGTGTATACAGATTGTATTTTGACAACCATGATCTGCAATTGATTTAGTGTTTACCTGTGTTTCTTTTTTTCTCTAAAGAAGTCTCTACATTAACTATTTTATCAGTCAATGGCACTTTCCAGTTGTTATTAACATCATTATCAACGAATAGTTCCTGGAGTATTAAATAAATTAATCAAGGCAGTTTACATCAAATATGCTGAAATGTATTCCTATAATATCAAGTGGCTTACATGTGATTATATATCATTTCAATTTAGTTCCACAAATACTGTGGCACATTAAAGATAGACAGAAATAAACTACAGTTTATCCAAGGAAGAGTTCACAGGAATGGTGAGAACTATTCATTTTTAGTGTCCGAAAACCCTAGATCTTTTCAATATATAAATTTGTGTTACGCTTGTTTGCTTTCATTACAGCAATGTATAGGTTTCCATAAGTAAATATAAGATTTTGCATTTACATATATTTCAACTTACTAATTTAGGATCAGTTCATGTTCCATACTTTTAATTTCAATCATAAATCCACCATATTATTTATTCCTAACAACTCAAAAAAGTGATAGCCTTTACTTTTTCTCTGCCCAAATTGTTGAAAAAAAAAAAAAAGAAAAGATTATGATGGGGACAGTTACATGGAAGGTGCCACGGAAGACCCTCTCATGTTTTGTATCGCTGACTCTAAACCTTGAAGAGAGCTTACCTTCCTTAATGTTTCCTCCAAAAACAATAAAATGTCACTTAACTCTTTTCTAAAATTACTATCCTAGTGAGATCTATATTCTTACATTGTCAAAAAGAATTTTTTTAATTGAAACACCCTTGTCAGTAGATCCAGATTCATTTTTTCCTACGTTTGTAGGAAGGAACATTTCTTCAAGGATAATGGTAATTATTCAGGTTTTCTTTTCTTTTTTCTTGATGGTTTAGTGAAATAAGCAGATTGTCACCTTATTTCATCTTTTTTGGAAACCTTCCAGTTTTCATTTATAGCTGACATTTTGTTTTACTCATTTAAGGAGTAAATAATTAGTTGATTATTTTTTGTTTTATGATTATCTAAACTCACATATGAACTTATTTCAATATTTTCACTTTTCAGAATATTTTTCTCAGCACCTGGGCGAGTATGAGAATGTACTGGCAGCACTTGAAGACTTAAATCTTTCCATTCTGAAGGCAATGAGCAAAACAAAGAAGGTAAGAAAATGTTAATGTTTTGTTTTCTATAAAAATCTCTTCTTTGAAAAATATTTTTTCTTAAAAATAATACCTGTTTTCAAGGTATAGATTTTTTATTCCACTAATAGTTTTTTCTTCATATTAAATGAGCTATGTTATTTATTCATAACATAATTATAAACACTATATGCCAAAGACTGTGCTTTGTGTTGAGGATACAAAGATACACAAAGCTGTTCAAATAGCTCCCAGCCTGGTGGGGATACAAGTGTGTAAACTAAGTGATATGTTTTGGATCTTATTCCTCCCCAAATCCCATGTAGAATTGTAATCCCCAGTGCTGGAGGTGGGACCTGATGGGAGGTGATTGGATCATGGGAGCAGAATTCTCATGAATGAGTTAGCACCATTCCCTCAGTGCTGTTCTCCTGATACAGAATGAGTGAGTCATCCTGAGATCTGGTTGTTTAAAACTGTGTGGCTCCTCCTCTGCCCCTCTCCTTCCTCCTCTGGCCATGTGACATGCCTTGCTTCTCCTTTGCCTTCCACCATGATTGAAAGCTCCCTGAGGCCTCCCCAGAATCAGAAGCCACTATGCTTCCTGTACAGCCTGCAGAATCGTGAGCCAATTAAACCTCTTTTCTTTATAAATTACCCAGCCTCCGGTATTTCTTTATAGCAGTGAGAGAACTGACTAATGCACTAAGTATTACAATATATCCCAATGAGAAGCACAAGATAAGATATCTAATTCATGCTTGAGATGAGATGACACTTGAGCACTTAGAGATAAAGGAAGTACCTAGACAAAGGAGACCTAAACACAGAGAACAGCACATGCAGAGACTCTGAGACAAGAGGGGCACAGGACATTCTAGGAAAGGAAGCTGGACAATAAGCATAAAGTACAGAAAACCAAAGAGCAGCAAGATATGAGAGGAAACTGAAGTGCTAGGGAGGGCCCACATCTTTCAAGATGTCAGCAAAGCTAAGTATCCTAAGTATCCTATGTATCCTAAGTGAAAATAAATGAGCAAATATTTTAAGCAGAAATTTAAAAATCATGCATTCTTTCAAAAATACCATACAAGAATTAACTTGGAATTGGGGTGGATAATATAGAGGAATAGGATCACAAAGATGAGTGAGTAGGCTGGTTCATTAGTCTGGGTAAGAGATGCTGGTATTAGGAAAACAAGAGAGCAGCAATAAAGACTCAACTGAATTTTGGAAAATAAGAACATTTCTTAAAACTTCAAGCAAAACAGAAAACATAAGAAAATTGGAGCATCAATCTAGGGTATCCTATATTCAAATAACAAATTTCAAAAAGAGGAAAAAAGGAAAACAGATAAAAAGTGGAATTGGAATGCATTTTCTTTAGACCTCTACAGGAATATTTGGAAACTGAATGATAAATTCATCTTTTGAAACTTCTCTCCAGCAATGGCCATTTAAAAATCTCTGTTCTGTGTGTCTAGCTTCTTCTCCTTATTCTTTAAGTCTCATCTTAAATACCATGGCCTCAGAAGGGTCTTCTCTGCCCACCTATCTAAGAAAAAGTAAAGGTCATCTCTATATTAGAGTATCTCATCTGTTCCTTGCTGGCAATTTATCAGAATGAATGAGAAACTGTGCAATGTTTTTGTTGTTGTTTATTTGTTGTCTGTAAAGAAAGAGAAGGGCAGTGACTGGATTTTTGTTTTTTATTTCTTTTGTTTTTGACTCACCATGTGTATCCTAAGCCTAGCACAGGACCTGACAATTAAAATTGTACTCAAAACATTTATTGATGGATTAAATAAATTGATTGGTTAAATGAACACACATATAGTTCCAAAAGAAATACTTTTTCTCCTAAAAGAAAAATTGCTCCTAAGTTAATTTAATAAGCTTACGGATTTCCTCTAATAGGAAGAAAAAAACAAGTTATATAATCTTCCTTATTTCCTCACAAATATGCACTAAAATCATGTTGTTTTTCCTTGTATTGAGACAATGAGGTTTTGTGGGATTCAAATTGAGGTCAACCTGTTGTTTTGGTTTCTTAAGTTACAAAATCTTTTTCTTGGCACTCACCCTTAAAAATGCATTTGATTCATATTTTACTGCTTAATCAAGAAAAAAATATGTCTCTGATTGAAAATAAAAAAGGAAAAACAAAAATAAGAAATGGTCAAAATCAAAATTAGAAAAAGCCCCTTTGTTTAATAGCTCAAAGATAAGGAAAAGGCAGGAGTTTTGACATTTCCCAAGCCACTGTTGAATAGACATCTCCACACTGCCTAGCACGTGGACCCTTCAGAGTTAGAAATCTAGCATTTTTTCTCTATATTTCTACCCAGATAAAATGTCCTGTCTCAGTAAGAAGATGTGATTGTTCTAGGCTTTTATGAAACATGAAATACAAGCCTTTTGTGATCTATCTTGACTGGCAGTACCTCTGTTTGCAGTGTCAGAGAAGGGATAAAATGGGATTTAGCTGCCTACCTTAAACTCCAGGAGGTGACTCAGGACAGATACAGTCTGTCATTATTTCCCCTCCTCCTGCTTCTCCCTCAACCCCAGCCTTTTGTCAGATCCTCAAGGGCTACATGGATTATTTTACTTTGCTTATTTTTCTGGAAGAAAACACCATAGGTCAAGTTCCAAATGGCCATTTGAAAGTCCCAGTGGTAACTAAAACCAGAACCCTCTGTCTGACTTTGGAATATCACAAACACACACACACAAAAATAGCTTTGTCAATTTATTTTTCTTCTTCCTACAGGGTAGAGGTGGTAAGCTAACTTATAACATCAGTATATGAAGTGCTTGTAACCTCAAAGCAAATGTGGAATTCTGATGCTACAGCTAAATTCATCATGTGCTGTGTTATATAAACACAAACGGGATTCCCTGCTTATTTGTATGGCTTAAAAGGAGATTATCATAAGCTAAAGTGAAGAAGACATTCTTAAAATAATTATTTAGGGTTTGTTAGTTACCTTACTGAATGCAGCTGTGAAATTTTCCAAAATTAAAATGTGTATATACTTTTTATTCTAAAAGTTACTTTTCAAACAAAGACACCCTACAATACATTTCAATAATTTTAAGAGAAAAATAGACTTGAATTCTAGCACTGCTGGGCCTCTGTCTCTCTCTACCATCCTACATCTGTCTTTGGGATCTATGTTGTTTCTCTCTGTAGCATCTGCAGATCGCTTTATCTCAATCTTTTCATCTCTCCTCTATCTCTAGATTTTTATGTTGAGCATCTGGGCCTCCCAGGGCTCCATATTCCTTTCACTGAAGATCACAATCATTTATTTATTAGTCTTACTGTGAAAAAGATGAAATAACAATAAAACACAGAATTTCTATTTGGGACAAACATCATTACTATAATTTTATGTAGGACTTATTATTAAAATTTTCTCTGTTTCAGGCAAAATATCCAAGCTGAAATAATACCATATGTGGCATAGGAAAATACCCTTGTAGGCTCTCAGAAGGCAAGCAGTTTGATTATTTGTTACAGTTTTATTACAATCTTTTAAGTATTCAGTCCATAATTATTTACGAATATAATGAAAACATTATTCTTGGACTTCAAAGCAACCACAAGAAACACTTTTCAAACGGTTTATTTGACATCTTCTTTTTTCCTTGAAATTATCTGTCAAAATGAGTGTGTTCAGGGAAGAGGAAGTAGAGACCAGGAGGATGCAAACTAGGGGAGGAGTGTCTTGAAGTTGCAACTTTGGTTCAGTAGGAGAGAAGCACTGAGTCAGGCCTAAGCCTTAGAATCCTCTGTGCAGTCTTGGCCAGACTTCTGCCCAGCCCCTGGCAAAGAGGAACTCGACACCCCTTGGAAAGGTTGCTCAGTGAAGTCAGGAGAAACATGTTCTCTCATAAAAGACTCTAGTTATCTTGAAGGACTCTGCAGTACCTACTTCCTGGGCCCAGAAACCTCCACCTCTAACCAGGTAAGGAGGAGATAGACCAGAGATGAGAGCCCTAACCCTTCTACTTCATGTGAACATGACTTTGGGGGTAATTTAAAGGTGATAAGAAACCACTTTGAGGTTATTGACAGAGTTTACACAGTGGTGTACACCCCTACACCACTGTAGATGTACACACATTAGTTCAGGCAAAGATCATGAACAAGATAGTGACTAAGGCGGATACGCTAGGAGCATAGAGGACAGACTGCATGGTAATGTCTGCGCAGGCTCAGGACTTGGATTGGCATCTACCTGGCAACCACGTCACCGGTTCTTTCTAGTGATTGCTGCAGCCTCACCAGACTGTTGGGGACTGATCTGACTTCTCTGAGCCAAGTTGCCAGACAATGCCTAATGACTCTTCTTTCCTGCTGGGCTAGGGCTTCAGTGACTATTGCCAAAAAGAGGCTGAGGAATAGCTGTCAATGCCAACTAGCATTTATATAGCACCTTGGAGTTTTCAACATTCTTTAGTATACGTATTTCCCTTATTCTTCATCACATCCTAGTAAGGAATGTTAGGCAAAAGGTAATATACCCATTTCAAAAATGAGGAAACTGAGTCACAATGTGACTAGTTGATTTATCGATATCCTGAAGATAATGAGATTTAAACCAAGTGATTCTCATTTAAAATTTTTTAATTTAAGGTTTATGTGCTTCCACATGAACATGCTATACATAAGCAGCTGTAAGTTATATCACGACACAAAGCATTTCTTGTATTAGGTATCTTTGTTCTTTGGAACAATCAGAGTCTTCAGAGTTCAGCTGTGGATGAGCAAAGGCATAAAGATTTTTAGCTTCTCTGTTAGAAATATTTTTAGTTTTGTTTTTGACAAATGAATAAGTAGGTGTCCAAGGCTCAGTGTAATATGTGAACCTATGAAATAAGTTATAGATAGAAGCAGATGATAATTCAATGCTAAAATTATAATTAAATCCTGAAATCAAAAGATGAAGGTGCATAAGCCAAGTTCTAAGCAAGGAAGTTCATATTTGTTATTATAGTTTGTTGTCATTAGA